TTTTTTTTTTTGTAAAATGTTTTTCTATAAATCAAAATTCGCAAAAATCAGTTTTTAGTTCAAAATTATATTTGGTTATAAATCGTTAAACTCATAACAACTTGTTATGAGTACATGCATACTAATTGTAATAAAAATATATCAAATATAGATAGCCAAACCGTCGGATTGCCTTCTGAAATGCGACGTTGCTATTGTTAAACTTTGATTGGTAACAAGAAGCAGAAAAAAAATTATATAAAATAATATAAAAAAAAATTGAAACATTGTCATTTTTCCCTAATTTCTCATTCCCTACTACCGCCCACTGTAATAATTAAAAAAAAAACTAATGATTAGAAATCAATATGTGCATTTTCTCTAATATATTTGTAACAGCACTTATTACATAACGAGTCTTAACCAATGTGCTGCCTATTAATATTTTGTCTAAAGAATACTTAATATATATAATTATGTGTATAATTTAGTCACAAAATATGTTTTTTCAAAATAATTGTTTTTCAAGTTGCCGCATGATTTATATAACGTGTTATCAAATCTTTACCGAAAATCTACCTGCGAGCGATTCTAAATTAACGCAAGGCATGACCTTTTTGTATGTATACCCTCACATATATGCTTGCGACAAAATATAACCTACCTTTTAAATGTCATCAAAACCCTTTTGTTATATTACCAAACACAACATATTTTGATCTCGATTCATCAATAAAACGAAACATTTATGCGCAATCAATGCTTTTGCATAATTATATCATTTAGAAATTTTGCACCAAAATTAATGATAAATCATTAGTGATTAAATCAATAAATTTAAATTATTTAACAAGTTTTGTACCATTTAATCGGTATTCTCTCGCCACAGAATTATTACGACGCGTTAAAAGGCGTTGAATCCATTTGCCATTAATTCTGACTATGTGATACTATGTTATTACTCGCCCCTTTTATAATTAAATTTTGCTCTGGCTATATTATAGAAGATTACATAACTATTTTGTTTATGATAGCTACACTATTAATATATCTCAATTGCTACAAGGCCAAAATGACATATGATTTTAATAAAATGGATTATTGTATTAATAAAGGGTAACTCTTTCAAGAATATTCTACATAATAAATAAATAAATAAATAAATAAATAAATAAGAAACGTTATTTCTAATTCATAAAAACACAATATTTAATTGATTGAAAGTAGAAGTTTTATCATATAATTTTATAAATAAATCAAAATAAAATAGTTCATATTTTGGTGAAACTGGTGTACTTATCTACACCATTAAAGAAATATAATTTCAATTCATTGACGAATTTAGTTGAAAATTCGTAAATTTTTCGTACATATTATTTAATAATTATTAATCTTTAAGAAAGTACACTATAATATTTTCAAAATTATTACCAGTTTGTACAATTCATGTTTGTCACACAATGGTATTATGGAAATGGACCTGCATGGAGTATTTTGTTGCAATATACCATTTTTAATTTGAAATTCATAACTAATGGGCCAATTCTACCGTAAAATAGACCAATGTTACGGCAAGGCTATGTTAGGCTGCGTTTTTCATATAAAATGGTACTAAAAACCGTCGAAATGCTATGTTGTTACTGTTCAATCAGGCGTTTTAGGTATAAAACTTTTTTTTACTATGCTTTTTTAACAGCTATCAGAACCTTACGTCCTATGATCTGTTGGACTGAAACTTCTCCTTACTTCGTATTTTTAGATGATAACCCAATGGTTAATCCATGCATATTTGATGATTTTTGTTTTTAGAATTAATCTAATAGGGCTGACTTTTTATTGCAGCAAGGACTATTTTCACTTGGAAACATATTGCTATCTATATTTCCAAGTGAAAATCGTTGTCACTGCTGCCTGACAACAGGCTGCTCGAAGTGGGTATCGAACCCGGGACCTCTGAAACAAGTCGCGTCGCTCTTAACCGCTTACCTACGGGCAAGCCCAGGTATAAAACCTAATCTAGAAAACGCACACTTCAAACAAAAGAATTTTCTCATAGGTGCAACTTTTTGATGTGTCATAATAATACATGCGAGAAGTCAGATTTTATGTGTAAAATGCCTGATTGCACAGCAAATACTTAACATTTTGACAGTTTTTTAGTCATTTTATATATATGAAAAACAATATAACATAGCCTTGCCATAACATTGGTCTATTTTACGACAGAATTGGCCAGAAATCTTCAAAGTTATTTTATAAGACGTATGCCTACATCTAATTCTGTATTGGACAAATAGGGAAAGCAGGTATAACATAATTAATAATAATAATTTCACTCTTAAAGATAATAAAAACATACCGAATCGGCGACTGTTTCTGCCAAATTACCGGGCGCCCCGTTCGGCAAATCCGCCGCGGCAGCTTGAGCCGCCGCAACCGCTAAGGCAGTTTCTTTGCTCTCCTGCTGCTGTTGGGCGCGCACGTGGTTGGCTGCCGAACTCGTGGCTGCACCATTCTGCGGTCTCGTTGCGTCCAGGAGCACCTTCAGCGAGGCTATCGCGTGCAGCTGGGTCGCCTTCTCGTCCACTTTACCTGCAACATCTGTTGTTTAGGAGCGTTACAGACGCGAAATAAAAGCGTTTTTAAATTTTGAAATATAATCACTAATATTGTGCCAATTTGGTAATAATGTTTTCGAGAACAAACGGTACCTAACAGTTATAATTTTATTTGAAAAAAAAAGTTCATAATATATTTATATCATTTAATCACTTACTTTAGCGTAACTCTTCCAAAAATTCATAAAATTTATTTCTAATATTGCAGTACTTTAATATGTTTCATGCTTCATAAAATCATGACAATTTTGGTCTCTAACTTAAAATATTATCTTTCTAATATAACAAATTATATTTGGCTAATTCATTGAAAAGTATCTTTGATGACTACTATTTTCATTGTTTCATTATTGCCAATTTGGCTGAACTACTGTACTAACTACTAATTTTATAAAAAGTAAATAGATAGATAGACATATTTTAATCGTATATTTGGAACTACAACTTATAAAGAATAATTTTAAAATAATGATAGTGATAACGATAAAAAATGAATTTATTAATTATTTAAAAATCTAATCTATAGATTATAATTTAACATAATTTGAATGTTTAATTAAGCAATGCTGTAATTCATAATATATTTGCTACTAAAATATTTAAGTAAAATAATTTCCACAAAATATTATCTATTGCAAACTCATTACATAAAGACGTTCATAACTATCAGGTTGAAAACTTTTGTATTATAGGATAATACAAAATCGAACTTTATCGGGTACTCAAAGTTTGCACTTAATTTTATTATGTATGCTATGTTACATAGAAAATCTCAAACTTAGAAGTAAAACCTGTATGTTCAATAATTAACTATAATCCATAATTACTATACTAATAATCTATATTTGTGCTTAGAGATGCAAAAGATTATATATATTATATATATATATATATTGTATATATTCTTTTATATTATATATATATATATATATATATATATATATTATATATGTGTGCGTGTGTGAGTTTGTATGTGTTTGAAACAGAGAAAGTAATTTATGTACGTGCATATAATTTAAATAGATTTTCATTTGTTAACAGTTTGTAATCATTGACGACAATATCAAACACGTACAAATTTGAAGAGTCAACAATTTTTTCATATGCTATCACTGGTTCGTATAAAATCGATAACTATGTATGTTTACCCAGTTCCAGCACGCGATTTACTGCTCCTCAAATTTACGTGTATCGCGTAAACTGTTTTCATAAATATTTATAGTTTCATTGCTTCACTAGAAGCACTATCGCATCGGATAACCTAGATAAGTATCCGACGATTTTATTTAGTGTCTATCAATTTTATTTGATTATTCGTCAATATACTTTTGATAGATATGTTAAATGATCATAAACATTAACGATAAATGGATTACCTATATGACACAGATTTTGAAAATAATAAATTTGCTAGTTTGTTTATTTGTATACGATTAAGGTCCGAATGTGAGTATCAATCAGAAGTTTATACTATTATTGGTTCATAACCTATTATCATAATGAAAATATAAACAATTTGATAAAGTATGATTTCTCCATATCAATAAATTTTTCATAGAAACGGAAATTCTCTTATTCGTTCCAGAAAAGTTCTGGTAGTTTTGCCCATGAATTAGATATCCAAATGCATCGTTTCGACGAATATGTATGAGACGAAAATCATAAACCTTTCTCAATATAGAGAGAACTTTTCCCACCGATCGGAAAATTCCTACCAATGCCCCATTTGTCGCATACTTCACGCCTCGCTAGAGTTAGAGATTCCAGAGAATATAAATATAAATACTTGCGCAGTGTCGATTGTTCTGTTCTATTTTACATTGGTAATGCAAATATATTTAAATTTTCGAAATATTTGGAAGTACTTATAGATGTAAATTTTCATGGAAACTTGCTTGTACTTATAGATGTAAATTTTCACGGAAAGATTAAAATACTTATATTCAAGCACATACACAATACTTGTTCAAGAAGAACTTTAAGTGCGATTAAGTAATGTTGAAAATTAAAAAATATGTTTATTTTAAAATATCAGGATTCGAGATAAAGTAAAGCACATAAGCTTGTGGTATAATAATTTTTTATCATAAACGTTTAAATGAAAATACTCGCATAAATATAATAAATTAAATTTGTAAAGTGCGGATTATCGTTCAAAATTATTTGGAATTAAGAAGTTAGATGAAAGTTTAAGAATAATCAATTGCAGTAGATCCTTAAGAAGAGTCAGAATTCATCTTGAAACAATTTACAGAATGCTCAATGTACAATAAATTAATAACAAATTTTAGTTAAATTAGACGTAAAGAGTGGCACATATTTCGCAAGTGTATAATTTTTAATTATATAATAGACCTATTTAATGAAAAATAAAATGTTAATTTAAATAAACACGATCAAATTGGGAATATACTTGAGGATTATATTATAAAATTTTATTTTATATATTTGGAAATTTTTATTATTGCATAAAACTTCATACTAATATTATATAACTTTTGCTCAAACATACACAATATTTATATTCAAAAAAACCTTCAGTAAAATTAAATGCTAAAAAATGAAAAAAAAATCAAGTTCAATATGTCATAGTTCAAATTACGGTGTATAAAATTTTAAAATCAATTTTAAAAAATGTGGATTTTAAAATATTTTTTTTTAGATTTCGATACTTTTCAATTTTTGAAATCCTCGTGTAAGTATCTATGGTCACATGCCACGTATATCTGCCGGACAAGTCGGGTGGAGCTTTTGTCTATACGTAAACGTCGCCCTTGACTTTTCAACACGTATTTTTCATGAGAGCGTGCAGAATGAAAGGTTCATCGAAGTTCCGATATGAATAAATGCGGAAATAACATGATGATATTTTCTGTGCTGATAGATTTTAAATTCAAGCCTCCATGCGTGAAAATATATAAGAATGAATATATTTTAAAAAATCCACAAGATATTGTTGCGATACCTATAATATTCATTATAAACTTTATTTGCATTGGTATAATTAAATAAAAATTATTTAAGTATTATTGAAGTAATGTTTATATGCTCCTATCTATTTTAAGAAAATTTTGTAAAAATGGTTACAAAGTGTTAATTTATCTTTTTTATCATATCATCATTAAAGTTTCATCTTTTTGTAATGCGCGTTCCATTTACTGAATCTTTTCCAGATCGTTAAGTTTAGCAATAAAAATAAATTATATTACACATTTCATCAGTGACTTTCTTTTTTCTTTCTTTATATTCATATTGCTATTGTAAATGCTACTGTTTTACTAGTAACAGTTACAAATATCCATAGAATAGATATTGATCTATTATAAGTAGCAAATCAAATTATTGTCTACATTATTTTCATACTACCATGTTTTTATTGTAATTAGATTGATATTTATCAAACTTTTCATGAGAAACAAACTGCTAAAGCTATTAATCTTTTTGTGTTGATATTGATATGAATACGCAAGTATTTCTTTCCTTTAATGTATCATTAGTGGATTATACAATAAATAGATTGCAATATACTAATAAAACCTAATACGTTTTGGCGAGTTTTTAAGAGTAAAAAACATATTTTTATAAAAATGGTTATAATCAGAAACTTCAGGCACATTGTCTAAGCGATTGGTTTAGAATAATAGTTTTTAGATACATGATAAATAAGGATGGAATAATCATATCAATAATCTTATAAATAATCGATTGAAGATATTCATGATTACACAGACATATATGATGACATACATAGACATATATATATATATATACATGTTTCACAAAGAAAATTAACAAAAAATATCGGATAATGACCCGAGAAAGTAGCAGCTGTTGCTGATTAGCACTTAGTGAAAATAATACGTGGTTTTCCCTAATAATGAGAAATTTGTGTTGTTGGGCTCTTAACCCGAATTGGAATCAATATGCTTATAATTCCATCAAGCGTTTTTATGACCCATATTGATTAATGTGCCGGTAATGAATGACGCGGCCTAATACATATTTAATACGACAATGAAAAACGCATAAAATAGATTGTTTTGTAGTTACTGCTTTTCTATATACCTAATTAAAATGTAATGATAAATAAATGATTAAAATTGAATTCAAATGAAACAGTACCCGCAGAATTTCAAACAATTTGGCAAAAAACACGCTGGATTTTAATTAAATTTTATCAGATTATAATCTAGCTATACTGCACTATAACCACTATTTATTAATTTTACAATAGTGCGCTTTATATAATCCATCACCATCGATTTGCTATGGAAATGAGTTTAATAAATGAACAGAATTTCCTAAGATTGCAGAAGTTGCAAAATTTATATTACATACATTAATTTAAAGATGTTTCGGATTAAAAATAAATTAAAACCTAGTAATTAAAATTATCATCATTCATCCCAAATACTAGAACTGCAATTTTCTGATTCCAGTTCATAATCCCGAGATAAAACTTTTGGATAAAATATAATAAATTGAACTTATAAAGTGTGGATTCCCGTTCGAAATTATTTAGAATTAAGGAGTTAGATAAAAGTTATAGAAGAAGCAATTGCTGTAGATTCTCAAGAAGAAGCAGAATTCCTCTTATTATTAGAATAAATTTTAGAAAAAAATAATGTGAAATTAAAATTAATTTTTTTTCATTTCAATATATAAAAATTAAATCCCCGTAAAAGAAAGATTCAATTTTTTCCAGAAATTCCGTGTAGGTATATAAGCTAATTTTTGACATTGCATCGAGTTCTCAAAAACGGTTGTATCTCAATTAGGACTCGTGTTGATAAGTCTTGAACGACAATTTTATAATATTTAACTATACACCAATAATTATATACATTAGTTTATACACAGTTAATATTAAATAAAATATATTCAGATAAATCACTAGATCAAACAATGAATAATGACTGTATTGTAATTAATTTCCTCGAATAAATTTAATGGAAACTGTTGGAAAATTCACAATACATTGTA